AAGGCGGCAATGAAGCCGCTCGGCAGCGGCCCTTCGATGGGACCGCAGCGTTCGGAGAGCCCGGGTTTGGACAGCGTCCCCGCAGCGGAGATGCGTGCTGCCCCGCTTCGGCTGAGGGGCTGCCAGGAGAGCGCCCAGGTGCGCGAACAGAGAGCCCCGGTCTCTCCTCTCTGCCCTTTCCTGCTCTCCTCCCTCTTCCCGAGCAAGAGCTTCCAACGGAGTAAATTACTTGGCGAAGGGCAGTAATTGCCACGGTCATAACGCGCTAAAAGTACAGAGGCACTGCAGGGGCTGCGAAGGGCTCGGCCGTGCAGAAGTGACCGCTGCAGACCGAACACAGCGCACGTGCGCCGTGCCTGCCCACACTCGGTACGGGCAGCGCCCGCCAACGGCGTCAACTTGGAGCAAATACCTGCGGGAAGCAAGGTCTATACGTGCTGCCGTTGTCCTCTCCGTGAGAAAAATCTGTATTAAACAGCAGATTGCCGTGAGGTTAATTGTTCATTTGACATGAGAGTACAGCTTCAACACGCAACCCGTGGGCAAAGATCCTGGATGCCACCGAACGCTCTGTAACCCTCCCCATTTGTAAATCTGTGAAACTTCGGGACTGCCCCTATATGGAGACCGTCCAGACATAAATCACATAAAACCACTAATAAATTACAATAAAAGACAAAATATATGGTCTTAAAAGACACAAGGCAGAATAAAATCCCAGTGTACATAATTACCATATTTATAACATTCCGTGGTACAATATCCTAGCAGCTATTTTAAAGTTAAGACACGTCAGCATATTTGGTCATGTTAGATTTCTGACTTGGACTATTTTACTACGTAACTTAAAAACCCTATAGATTACAAGAATCTGAAGACACACAGAAAAGAACAATATTCTGATTAAAAAATTGATTTAGTATGCAGCTTCTCTTTACAGTCCCTTGGTAAAAATGAAATCTCCCTAACAAACACTTAATAAAACCTGTCAATATATCTAGAAAGAAAAATGACACAAATGCATTAAGTATTAAACACCCTTGAAAAAAGTCACATATTCCATGAATTTTTGATGTACTATCTTGACATTAATGTAAAACCTTGATATTTATAATTGACAGATATTTAATAAAGTATAGAAGATGACTGCTGCATAGCATGCAAATTGCTCAGGCTGATCAAAAAAGATACAGACATATTTAAACTAAACAAACACTTAATACGTAAAAAAAAAAAAAATCAGATCTAGCTTTTATAGGTTCATGCAGCTAGGTCTCTACAGATTAGCTTTGAAATGTGACATTATCCACTACATGAACCCTAATTTTAACTTACCAAGTCTGTATGAAGTAGTTTCAGAAAGTTGGGAGGGGAAGCTTTAAATAAAAAATGGGAACATGAAAATGTGAATATATTCATTTAGATGCAGGTCCTGACATTCTACTCAAAGAGTTATTATAAAGAACAAATACCATCTATTTAGTTACCCTTTCTGTGAAAATATTGTCAGAGCTGGCAATCAGGGTGATGACCACTGCAAAAACAAATAGTGGCATGCTGAATTTCATTTTCCTCCTGATGCTGCTATTTCATAAAAAAAAAAAAAAAAAAAAGCAAGCTTCTTCCCCTTCAGCGTTCCAAGCCTTCTTTGAGACATTTGGAGGATATCTCAAAATAACCAGAAATATTAAAAAGTAACAGTGACTGCTGCCAGATTGTCTGCAGCCACTGCGGAAAGAGACAGACTGTTATTCTAGTCACCTAAAACACTATCAGACTAGAAGCCAGTTACTCAGTATGGCAACCAGAGAAAAGAGGGGGGGGTGGGAAGGAGAAAAAAAAAAAAAAAAAAAAAAGGAACAGACACTTTCAGACATTTTTCTGTTTCTGGGAAGCAGTAATATCCAGTGGTTCATGTCTCACGTTCAACGTTTCACATGAAAGCACAACTCCTGATGCCTGCATAGGGGCCTTTGCGCTAATAATTTCTCCATTACATTTTTGGATGGACATCACAAGATAATGATTCTCAAGTCTTATGAACTAGATGTTAGAGGGGGAGTCCACTTTTGAGAAGGCTTGTTTTTATTTGGACAGCATGAAGGCTTCAATGTAGAAAGGGTGGGTGCCTTTCCAGCTGAGAAGCCATCACAACCTTCACTTCTGCTATCCAGCCTACAAGGGCATTAACCTCCTGTAAAAGAGTGGCCAGACTGTGAGAGGCAATAACTCCTTAGCCCATTCAATCACAAAATGCCAAAGCTCATTTATCGGAGCTCCTAATCTTGACAAGGAATTGCCATTAAAATTACCTTAATATTTTCTTTTTTACCAAGTGATGCAAACTACAAGTCCTATTACTGTAACATGAAATAAAATGTCTGAGTAAAAGTTAAAATGGGAGTACAAAAGTTTACACAGTGTTAAATTTGTGTTCATATCCATGCTACTAGATGTCTTGAAAAGAACTGATGCATTTTGGTGTGAAGTCATATTGGCCAGTATATTCCTTTGTACCATTAGCCCTTGTATACTCCAAGTAAAAAAATGAATTGAATCATTGGATGTGATCAAGATTAGTGGGGTTTTTTGTTTGTTTTTTTTAAAAAGACACCACCTCTCAGCTGAGATAAGCTGACCATCGGAGTCATCTACTACTCCACTATAATACATAATTGAAAAAAAAAAGCCTTGTTTTTGTTGGTTTCTTGAGTTTGTAGATGCAGAGATGGTTGCGTTTCTGTGGAGAATATTTCAAGTACACACAAGTCCAAGGCAAAGTTGTGGGCAATCACTGCATCAATATTACTAAATCAGATTTCAATATTCTCCAAAACCTCTTGTGTACCGTTGAAGCAGAGACAGCTCCATTTCTATCTCAGGAAACCATCTTACTAAGTGTTGAGATTATACTGAGGCCATCACTTCACTCCCCTCCCTGTCCCCAAAACACTAAGGCTACTTGAAACAGTTAAAGCCAAAACCAGTTTAAGCT